GCTCGGCGAGAGGTTTTCGTTTATAAAATTATGTTGTTGTTATTGACTTGATTTTTTTTATCACCTCGTCTCCATAGTTACTATTTGCAAATAGACAATAATATTGTAGGTCCATTTTAGTGTTGTTCTTTCTACGCGCGCCGTTAGAACACATTTTCATCTCATTATTTAATTTCTGTTGTGCATATATTGTTGTATGGAAGATATTTTAAAGTGATTCATCAAGTGGAAAACGAATATACAGATACATAAACCGATATGTGGCGCCATCTAGTGTACTTAAATTCACCTAGAAATTTTCATAAAAATGACCCGAAAATCGGGGCTAACTCGGTAACCCTTGACTCGATTTTAACTAAACTAGTTTTATTCAGTTTCTATTCTCATTTCATTACAAAAATGGTGCTATTGTGCGCCGTTTTTGCTGTATTTAATTACAGACAAGCAAACAAACAATCTCAGAGTTTTAGTAGTATATAGATTATAACTAGAATATACATCAACAATCCAAGCAAAGATCTTGAAAAATAAGTAAAAAATATAGGTATTGATGAAGTTGTATTTTTCTATTTTGTTTTGGATGTTTGCTATTGGGAGCTAATAATGTAATCATCTGGAAGTTTCGTGAAGTATGTGGAAATAAGGATACATTGTGATTTCGAGATCGGTGGAGTAATGAGCAGTTATTGAGTATTCAATATATGATTCAGTTCAGTGTTAGTAGTGAGAGTTATCACGTCTATTACAAAGTAAATTCTGTAAGTAAGTTTATTTGTGAGTTTCGCATAAAATACGACTCGATATATTTGTTTGTGGAATATGGTCAATATCTTGTGTCGATGTAAACATAGTCTGTAGTAAACGTTATTGTATAAAAAATAATTCGTTATCGTTACGTGGACTGAACTTGGCATTATTCTTACCAAATAATCCAAAAAAATCCACCCAACATGGAATTCGTTATAACACTCGTTATGAAAGATGGGATTGTTTTGGTGAATAAAATAGAACTTTGACTAAATTTCAAGATGTTAATCTGATCATGAAGCGAGATCAAAACTGTACAAGAGATAGCAAAATAATTTAAAAAGGTCAAGAAGAAATAGGAATATAAAATAAGATTAAGAGGTAACAGACAGAAATTTAAGAGAAGAGTTAAAAGAAAGATGTGTAATATTTAAAGAAGAATTAAATACAAAAATAAATCTGATTTAACACATGGTCGATGAAGCTTTTGCAGATGCACAGAGGGACTACAGCAACGAGATTGATAAAGTACAGAAAAGTTGTGATGAAAAATTGAAGAAGTACGAAAACAAATTAATAACAGAATAAAACATTTTGAAAAAAGTAACTACAAAGATCAAACCAGCCATAATTCTTTCTGCATCTGCTCAAGAATACCAACCTGAAACACTAATAAAAATGGAATAAGAGAACATATTTGGTATACACCTGTTACTACTACTGCTGAGTCATATAGGATCTTCGTGGACTACTCCAGCCATAACACTCCAAATCAAATTATAGAATTTAACTGGCCAGTTCAGTGATATTACCCAATCGAGAAACCAATGGATTATGATGGAAAGGTACCATAGGATGCATATTAGACTCAGTTTGAAATAATGTTCAGAGTGAATGGATACAATAACAACAAGCTATTCATCTTGCTACCCATTTAAAAGGACCAGCTTTAATGATATTAAGCAGCCTTTCAGCTGAGAGTTATAACAGCTATCAAGCATTATTCAACAGGTTTGGAGTGACACACCAGAAGGAAGTATCTAGATCAAAGCTCAGAAGCAGGGTGGAAAAAAAAGAAATATTAGCCAAACTCGTGGAAGGTATGGAAAGGCTTGCCCAGCTTTCTTACCCAGATGCTCCACGTCAAAGGAAGGATTCATCAGCATGTGACCAATTTATGGGTGCCATAGTACAGGGAGGATATGTGAATTAAGCTGAAGCAAAGTCAGTGTACACAGCATGGTCACAAGTAAATAGACACCTAATTTTTCGTCATTTAACTGATTTATGCTAACTAATTTGT